GCTGTAAAAATACCAAGACGGCTTTTATCAACCTTGGCACCAGACGTCCGACAGGCCAAACTGATTTCAGCGAGTGGAGGGATGCGGGGCACACAGGAGCCTGCAACGCGTCGGCAGCGTTGTCTCCCCGCCCCCCGGGCTATGACCCCGCAGGGATTAGGGAAACTGGAGCCAGGCTGCTGGATGCCCCCGTCCAGGGACTGCCCCGTCCCGGGACCCGACACGCCGGCCACAATGCCCCTTTCTCTTGATCATAACAAGAACTAATTGTGCACAGTTGCTCACAAAATACTTCACATACATCATCTGCTACGACCCCCACAGCAATTCTGTCTGGTCTGCAGGGTGGCTGTTTGCATTCAACAGTGGAAGAAATTGAGGCCCAAAGGGGCTCAGGGGCGCAGGGGTCGTCATGGCTAAGAAGGGGGACTTAAATCCAGGTCTTCTAACCCTGCGTCCACTCTAGTCAGTCAAGTCCCATGTCGCCATTTTCCCACCTATTCTTACCATCCTTCCTCTTTCCTTTTCCTAGCACTAGGCTGGGAAATTCTGACAACGGGAAGTTGTTGCCCTTTCTCCTTCACTTCATAAAAATCCACGCGTTCTCTCCCTCGCCCCTTCCCTGATGGGCATCGGTGGCTACAGAGTGACCACGCTGAGAACCACGACACTGGCATTGGGACCCAGCAGCACTGTCACCGGCTCCCGGCTGGGGGCACAGGAGAGGTGGCGTCGATGCTTTTTATCCGGGGGTTTCTAGGGCACGCTTGTATTTCTAGCCAACCTTTTTATTTTCAAAGTCCTGCACCTTCCCTATTGATCTTGCTGTAACATCTGTCATGTGAAGCACTGACAGGCTACGGAGGGGTGAGGACTTCTTCAAGCCCCACAGTAACCGAGTCTTCGGGAAACACTTCTGTGTCCGTGAACGGCGCTGCAGAATAACCTCTGTGTGCCTATAGATACTGGGGTTCATCAGAGCCCCCAGACTGGAAAAAGTTGGTAATGCACTGGGTAGGTTCCCTAACATTAACATGCCTAACCCCTGCCCCGCATCCCTTTCTGGCAATGCTGCCACAAAAGATTCAAAAATGGCCGATACTCACCGGTCAGAAGACCCCTTTAATGCAGTTTTCTGCCTCACAGTCCTTGGCAGGAGTCCCTTTCGTAGATCACATGTTGGCACAGGGCCAAGAGATGGTGCGGTTGACTCACAGGTCACTGTAATTTATAAGAAGTCAGGATAATAAAAAGGAAGGCAGATCTGACATCACTGGCAAGGGACAAATTTTAGTGTTGTGCTAAGTGAACTAATTACAACGAGCTCTGAATGATGTGGGAGGGGTAAAGACCTTGTTGAACAAAGCCAAGCCCATGGAAGAGAAGGGCCATGTGAAAAAAGGTCAACCTCTCTAATGAGAGTTTGTGAATCTCCCCAAAATTGGCATTAACTTGTTATTGATCCTAAAGTCAGAGGGGAAAAAAAAAAACCCCAAATCTGCTCCAACTCTTTATCAACCAGGGTGAAAGAGGTGATAAAATGAGCACACACACTCCATCCACAAGCACACACCAACACACACACACACATACACACACACAAAACTGGTTTCTAACTTGGCTTTGCTGCAAGCTGCATATCTAGAGTAAAAAGTGCCTCTTTGTCCATTAAGCCACTGCAATTTAAAAAAATAAGGAAAGAAAAAATTTCAAGATAAGCTCAGCTTTAGAGTTCACTTGGTGAAAGCCTAATGCAGCTACAATTATTCGTCGGCCTTGGCCTGTGAAAGACTCTACAAGAGTTAAAAGCAAGCCAGCACTACCTTTAGCTCATAAGGGATTACTCTTTTATTAGTATAGTCTTGGGATTAGTGGAAATGTCTGTCTAATGAATGCAGCTACTATATTTGAGCACATGGCTGAATAAGCTACTTGTTGATTGAAACCTATCTATTTATAAGCACTTCTGCACGTTGTGAAAAATCCATCTGTATCACCACAGCATGGCGCCCGCCATTGAATAAAGGCTCTTTGCCGTTTCAGTATAGAGGCTGCGGGAGTAACCAGCAGAAAGGAAGTGTGCTGCATCCACTTCACAGGTTTTATCCCTCACCCTTGGCCAGTAAAGTAGGGTTACCTTATCTAAACAGTGATTTAGATTGAGGTGGATGTTGTAAAAACAGAAATGGAAAAAAGAATACTTTTATTCAGACTCACCCAGGGTTTTAACGCAGATCTACCATGATTTGGGAAAACGGTCACAAACAGCCCAAACTAGACATACCTCTGCTTCTGTCACCGTCTTTGCAGGTAGTCTGGAAAGTAGGTGGATTTACTGTGCTCACTGGTATTATGTCTTCTTTATGTTTCTGCTTATGAATAGCACACTAATAGCACATCCAGCCGAAACGAGAGCAGCATGAAGAGCCTTGGTATGCAATTAAGGCAGTCAGCGCCCGCAGTGTTCGAGGTCCTCGTTACCTCTGAGCCCGCATCGGAGGGAAGGCCACGCTCTCCACCCCGAGACAGGAACCCCTGGCGTTCTGGAGTTCTGGTCCCCACCACTCGACTCACCACCTCCACACTCACCCCATGGCGCTGCTTCCCAGACTCAAAACCAGCTCTCGAGCACTCCTGGCTTTTGAGTTTGGGCGTAGAGAAGGGATTATTTTTATCCCATTAGGGTTTATTTTAACTCCTCTGTAGTTTGGGACTCCATTTACTATGCTACTTCTTTGGAAAAGACCAACAAAGAATTTATTTTAAGAAGACTAAGTAATTGACAATTGAGACCTCATAGACTTTCTCTCCTTGAAGAACCTCATCAACAATGACAGACACATTTTCCAGGTATCCCACTGGGAGAAGACAACTGAATCAGCTGACCACTGGAAGCTTTTTCTAGCCCCAATGTAGCAAATAAGAACGCAGGCATTAGCCATCTTTGAACTCTGGCTATTCTGCTTTCCAGAGTTCGTGACCTTTAGTTTCCTGGTGATATCACAGACCTACCTAGTGTGTCATGAGAACGCAGAAACTTATACCTGTTAGCATGACTACTCAGGCTAGGAACACAGCAAAAATCAGAGGATCACATCTGTATTTTTTTAGTTAACAAAGCAAAAAAGTAATTCTGAAAACAAAAGTATTAATACTAAAAAATTAAAGTTGAAGTTTATAAAAGGCAAGATGTTTGGAAATAGCAAATATTCAAATCATACTAGAGCATTATAAAGCACCAAAGGCCCTGCAGTAAGTGAACTATAGCTGTTCAAACAGACACTGAGTTCCTGACTCAAACGCCGGGCCAACGTGCTCTAAGGGATGTTCAGAACGTGATGGAAGGCACTGCTATCACCACGTTCATTTTATGGATGAAGAAATCAAGGTCCTGAGAGGTAGGTCTCGGGAGGTGGTGGAGAGGAGGTTGTGATGAAACCCGAGTCTCTCCTACTTTGCCCTAGTGCCTCCCCACACATTTTCTTCAGTTTTGTTAAACATTCGCGTAAGATTATTAAATGTAACTAATAGTTTTATGACTTAAACAGAAGACATCTAATAAATCTCTCCTTTGTGAGGTCATCTCACAATAAAAGAGGGTATATGGCAGCATCCGAGACTCAGGTGAGCACGGAATCTGAGAACAGGACTGGCAGGGGACAACCCTTCGTGGCTGCGTTTGTGACAGCGCACACTCACAGATACCCTTCTCCCTTGAACCCAGAGGGGAATAAACTGAGAACTAAAAACTTCTGAAACTTGTTAGCTCTCCTTCCATCACTTGTTTCCGGAAATCTTTGCACTTTTTAGTGCTTCTCTGTTTTCTATTGAGGTTCACAGCAAGGCACTGACAAGGAGTTCCTCTGAAAACTTCCCTTCTTCCCTCCGTCCCTCCGGTCACCCATTCACACACCTATTCTCCAACGGCTTCCATAAAAGATTCGAGTGAACATTTGTGAACTCATGCTACTACCTCATTTTCTTGGTCTTTCTCATAATCATTGTGCCTCATGTAAGAAAAACTGCTTTGGGCCTTTTTTTTAGGCTAGTATGAGACCAGAAAATGGTTGAGGGATGAGAGAACTGGTAAGCATTCATAAACAAAATTTGTTGAGGAAAGTTTTTAAGGCTGATTTTTTAATGTTCATGATACTTATATTCATGAATTATAATTATGGATTCAATGCCAAAAGGCAGTTGAAACTTACAAAGAAGCAAAGGATAGAAATTATAAATACTTTATAAAAAAAGAACATGGAAAAAAGGATCCAAATGACTTATGCATGGAACCCAAAATTCAACAACCCGAGCCAGCACTTAGAATTCCTCGCTGTGATTTCCTAGTAAGATTATTAAGCTCAGCTGCTGCCTTCAATATTTGTTTCCATAGACATTACTAAGAAAGCATTTTACTTTGGCATTTGGTAATATGGCACCATTTATAGCTGTCTTCACTCATAATAACCTTACTGAACAACCATCTTTAGGGCTGGCGGTACACACAATGAGGTTCAGCCTGGTTCCTAGCGGCTAACGGCTGAAACAAAAGTTACGTCATTTTTTCTTGCATTTTTTTGATTCAGAAGTTAAACCACACCCACATTTCTCATTTAGCCAAGTCTGTATCTTTCTGACGCAGACATAAAATCTCAAGAAGTGTAAAGGTTTCTATCACCAAATACACTCTTTTATCACTTTTGGATAATAACGCAGACAATCTAATGATTCCACCAACTTGTAGTAGGTGATTTTCCCCCGCTGTTTGAACAAATTTTTCCAAAGAATGATCTAATTCATCTTAGTCTGAGAGAGAGAATAAACTCTATGCTAAAAAGGAAACTCCATTTTGTTCCCTTTTTGCTGAATTACCTCAATAATAATAAAAAATACTGAATTCAACTGTAATTAAGCTAAAGAAATAGGGGACTTTGCATTTAATGTACTTCAGGAAATTCAAATATTTGGGGGGGGGGGAAATCACAAAAGCAAGAGTGTTGGCCATAAAAAAAGAAATTTATTTTATAAATCAGTATTGTGTGTTTCAGATACACAGGTAAAAGAGAAAGCCCAGAAGGCAAAAGCGCCTTTTCCAGAGTGTTCCCAGGATGGTCAGTACTTATTGCGAAACTGGTTGCTGAGGTCTTGGAGCTCTGTTACCAAGGCATCCATAGCTGCTACGTCATCAGCTAACTCCCTAGAAATTTCTCCGCTTGCCACATCTGTAAAAAGTTGCTGCAACATAAAGAACAAAGTAGAACTATCAAAACAATGAAAATCTCTTTGAAACAACATAGAAACAGAGCACAGAATTATAGTTCCGTCTGGGCAACACTTCCACAGGTCACAGTGGCGATGGCAGTCTTCGTCCTGTGGACCGCCCTGGAAAGGCGCCGGCTGCGACAGAGGGTGAACAAACAACAGGTCTGAACTTGTAAATTCAAGGGAGTTCCGCTCCTCAGAATGTTTGCTCTGAATATTGATTACTGAGTGCAATGTCATAGGATGGGTTTTGGATGAAGGCATATACTATTCATCCAAAACAAAGCTATTCATTGTATATACAAGCAAAAAATATACTTTATATTCAAGTTCATATAAATCAGACCCTTTATGCTAATTACTTGAAAATTAATTACAGCTGAGGACTCAGCGGCCACAAAGATGATCAAGATTTGGTGAAAGCAAAACAAAGCACCAAAATGAAAGCAATGGGGCCCCTCCAGGGAAAGGAATTGCCCTGGGAGGCGTGCTGCCACCTCCCCCGCAATGCCACGCCGCCCGTGGCCCTGGGGGCTCTGCTCGCTGGGCCCAGGAACTCGCGGGTTTGCAGGCATCGCCGCCCCAGCCCCGGGCCGCAGGCCGCGTGCGTAAACCAAGGGTCTGTGTTCTCATCGTCCAGCCTGTCCCCCCTCTACCTGAACCATTTTTGTCAAATCCATGGACAACCTACTAATTTTTTCTCTAAAGCAATTTTCATACCATAACAGTCTTTTTTAAAGGAAACATTTCAGCATCACTATAAATGAAAAATAACAATACTCTTCAATAACAAAACTCTAAGTCTGATGTGCTAGTTATACTTTTTCTAATACGCACTGCAATAAATATATATTAAAATTGTTAAGTTTGCCCAAGTGCTACCAGTGGCAGATACGCCACACTTTGGGGAAAGTGATAATAAATAAAAGAGCATTGTTTTAGTTTAATTTACAGAAAGCATTAGGGGCTGGCCTGTAAGTACTAATTTCTCAGAGTCCTCAGTTACCCACATTTAGCGGGGGTCCAGCCATTGGGCCAGTAAAATCCTCACCAGTACAAGTAACTACCCGAGGGCTAACACCTAAAATGTAACGTGGGCCTAAAATTAGCGCTGATGCAAAAGGAGATTTAAGAGTTGGTCGGCTGGCACTACGGCCCTCGCCCTGTCTGTCTGACGGCCATGCCTTCCACTCTCACCTTTGCCTTAGATACCAGGCCCCGCAGGGTGAGCCGCACTGAAGAAAGCGCCTGCACAGCCTCTTGGGGGCTCGGCTTGTTTTCACTGCATTTCACAGCCACTGGAGGGTAGACACAGAGAAAAACATCTGTAAAAATTGCTGATGATCATTCACAAGTTAAAAAACAAAAAAACCCACAATTATTTAAGATTTTATAGTAACGGATTTTAGAAATATTTCTCCATGGAAAGCTTTTAATTTGGAAAAAGGATAAAAATTATGTGTATGATTTTCCCTTTTATTTTTCTTTAAGAAGGATAACTTATTGGTAAAAAGAGAATTTTGAGGAAAATAGGTGAATTTTAGTGAGTTACAGAACATTGGGAAGAGACCCCCCCACCCCACCCCCACCAAACATACATAGACACACACACACACACACACACACACAATAATTAGTTAGACAAAATTAAATGGAACACAAAGTGCCCACAGTGGGCAAAAGAGATGCGGCACATCGCAGCGTGGCTTCCCCAGACTGAGTCCCTAATGGGGACTCACAATGAGTTTTGACACCAGCCCAAGGAAGTGACATGACAGATGGTTACAGCTCAATTCTCAGTACAATTTCATACTCAGGGTTCACGTCACCACCTGGAAGAACTGATATCAACGACCAACGTGCCTGCACTTGGGGACATGACCACAGCCAGGCTCTGGCTGCTGAGCCGCGCCGGCAGCAGTGCGGACGGGGCCGGGGGAGAATGCGGTCTTTCCTCTCCGGCGACCCTCCTCCAGCATTCTGGGGGCCCCTTTCCCTAAAGCTTGAAATTATGAAGGGGGCATAATCCTCCCTGGCAGAAGACCCAGCTGTTAACACTTTATAGGAACAAGCATTGTAAAAATACAACACCTGGTATTTCTCCACTGATCTGATCTTGTTTTTGTCTTGTTTTGAATGATGCTCGCTACAAACAAGACAATAACCACGCACTTTAAAACTATACTAGAGACTGCAACAATTAAAGTCTACTTAGCACCCTAGGTCTTGGACCAGGGATAGGAAATAGAGTTCTTCCTGCATACAAACTCAATCAACGGGTGGAGGTTACCTGTGCCTGGCAAAATAGTTTTATCATTAAGAATATCTTTATGGCTGGTGAGAACCAGGTTTGGCTCCTATTTCAAAATGACAATTAGACTTTGACATTTCTCAGCTAAAGACTGAAAGGATGCATGATAATCAGCAGTGTTAGACTCATTTTTAAAGGGTTTAACCCAGAAATAGCGGGGATTATGATGTCTGTGTCTCTTAGTAGAGTAACACTGTACCTACTATGGCTGCGGTATTTGGGCCAGTTAATACCTTATATCAGAAAGAGCTGTGATTCTTTCTTTTTTTTCTTCTTCTTCTTTTTTTATTTTAGAAGGGAGGGAGAAAAAGAGGGAGGGAAACATCACCCTGACAGAGGACTGAACCCACAACCCAGGCACGTGCCCTGGCTGGGAATCGAATCAGTGACCTTTCAGTTTGTAGGACAATGCCCAACCAACTGAGCCATGCCAGCCAGGGCTGATTTGTTTTTTCAATCCTTTATTTTCATTCTGAGAAAAACAAAAATAAAGCAAAAAGTCAAAGACAAGCATACACTCCATTAGTCCCTTCCTCAACCCCATTTTCAAAAGGCATTTGAGGTGGAGATAGATAGATAGCTAGATAGATAGACATACAAATAGACAGATAGGAAATGAGAGGGGGAGAGAGTGCGCACACGCGCCTGCTGTTTCAAATCACCAGGAACCCAGGGTTTCCTCCAGGCAAATTGAAGTTAAAATGCAAAACTATTATTTTAAAAGTTCCTGGATGGCAAAGAAGGACTTTCGCCAGTCCTTTCCCAGAAAACAGAATGGCTGAGACTCTAAGTAAATACCCACACTATAGACAATGCAAACGGGTACACAATGACAATACTGTTAGGGAAAGGTTTCAAACACTATGCAGGGGTTGCAGGATCTTATCGAGCTTTCTGAAGCACATGGCTACTCTTAAAAATAGCAATCCAATAGCTAATAAATGGTGGAGATTTTTTTAAATGTTGTATTTCCTTTTCAGCATTGGGTGAGGTGTAGAACAGTGTTGCGGAGAAAGACAAAAAAGAGGATGACAGAGAAGCCCAGCTGATCCTTCCACTGAACAGTGGCGAACAAAAGCAGCAAAGGTGAAGATTTATCTTCATGAATCTAAACTATCACTAGAAACTAAAGCTGAGCGTCCACTTAAATATGCTTACAGTGTTATAGAAGTATCAACCCAATAATTAAAGTCAAAGGAGAACTTAGAAGAATAGACACTAATTTTTCTCCAAGGATTGCCCTGATGAAAGAAAGTGCCACAAATAGTTTAAAACCAACTTTAAGCGCAAAATGCAGATTTTTTCCTAGAGTACTCCTTTAACCTGCAAGCTCCTATTTGATGGGTTTAATACCGTCACTTAGTGATTATGGAAAATACCTTGGCTTTGACTGTTATACAGCCAGCTGCTCACAGGAATGTTCCGAGCTGGCGGGTTGAAGGAGATACAGTCTTCAAAGTACATCGCGCCCCGCTGCAACTATGCGCGTAACACAGTAACGTAATAGAAGGCGAGCACAGGCGAGAAGGCAAACACAAGGCCCAAGGCGCCCAGCTGCATGCCACCCGAGTGCGCCCACTGTGAGGCCAGCACGGCCACATGAGCTCCAGGCGCCGCACGCTGCCCTGGCACTGGCCGCTCAGCACTGACGCCCAGCTCTCCCACACGGAGGTCCGGCTGTATGAGTCCAGCCCTCCTGCCTTATCTGTCACGGGATAGGTGGCCCAGCAAATTGAGTATTTGTATGTTTTTTTATCAATGATCTCCAAGGCTGTAAGTAGAATTATTAACTACTAAACCCATTTCTAACTTGTGTGAATGTTGTTGCTTCTTTAAAGGCAAGTTGAACTTTATCCTTTTTCTCTTTTTAGCTTGAGTTCCTTACCACACAGCTCAGGTCTCCCACCCCAGGAGGAGCCAGGCGGGGGTCAGAAAGCACGAGGTTAACATTAAGTTAGGTGTAAGATACTGGTGTTTTTAAAATGTTGTACTTTCAAATTTATGTTTTGCATTTATGTTTGTGTTTTCGGTTATTTTTCAAAACTACAATAGGTAGGTAATCAACGCAAATAGGCTGCAGTGACGTGAAGATTAAATACAGTTGTAAAGGTATTTCATCTATCTCAGGTTTCTAATACCTGTCACCTCTTCAAACAGGGTTTAAGCCTCTATCCTATTTCTTCTTACTGCTCGAAAGTGCCTGCTACATAGTAGTCGGTCTATAAAGGTTTGCTGAATTAAATACAACAATTTCAATATAAGGAAATAATCTGGAACTATATGTAATGAAATTTTACTTTGGACTAATACTTTCCCTTATCAGTAAAAATATATTAAAATATGCCGTGGAGAGCAAATGGTACATTACGTACCATGTGCAAGTCCTATGGCTCTCTGAACCACCTCCTTAAACGACGTAATATCTTTCTCCCAATAATTGGACTGTGTGTCACACTTGTACGCCTTGGAGAGATACTGGAATGCCTGAGGAAAGAAAAAGAACAACATTCAGAATAACAAGTAGAAATCACGTTTCAGACTCTCTTTCCTGGAAGTCATATGGAACTAATTGCAACTTGAAAAGCTGCATCTGTGCGATACAGCCCGGTCTCTCTCATTCTCATCAAAGAAGAGGCAAAAATGCGCGTTCAAAAGCATCGGCGATTAATCAAATGGATGTATCTGGATCAAGACACTTCCCTCCAACAGAAACATATAAGTGCCCAATTTGGAAATGTATGAGAAGTGTACACATTTCCTTACCAGTTGTAGCCAGAAGCTTAAAAGGTCAGTTAAAAGAATGAGATGTGAACTTGGTTAAACTATGGAATTATTGGTAAACGTGTAAACTCACAGCAGTTTACGTCACTCTCTTTCACGACCTGATTCAGAGAAATCAGAGCATCTTAATTCCATACAGGCAAGGGAGCGCATGATTCTTCAAGAAGCTCCAGGAGAACAGAATGCAGGGGTGGGTGTGTGCGCGTGAGCGTGTGTTCCCTAGCTAACAAGGCACTGGGAGAAGCCAGCTGGGGGCACCGAGGGAGGAGAGAGGGACTAAGAATCCCACCTATCAGATGTGCTGTGGCTAATTCTAAACCCACACAGGGGTGCACTTGATTTGTTGTGGATGTTTTGAAAAGAACACAACGATTATTCCAGCCCGGGAAACTCTGGAGGCTCCGGTGAGTTCTAGGATAAGAGGCCAAAGGCCTGGGAGCAGAGCGTGACCGGTGCACCTGTGAGGCAGGGCAGGGCAGCCTTTATCAAGCATTTCATGTTTTGACTTTAAAAGCTCTGCCCCAATATTCTTATCTGGTTCCTTTTTCCTTTTCCCTTTCACAGTCCCCATCTCAGATTTAAACCCTTTTGTCCTTGTACCCAATCTACCTTAGTCCTCAGCACTGAGCCTGCAGCAAGGGTGCAGAGGAAATAATGAGAGCCGGCTGCTTGCCGCAGCGCTGGTGGGTAGGGAAGCGGCTTAGAGACCCTTCGGCAGGAAACAGAGGACAATTATATAAGAAAAAATCATGGACAGAGAAAAGATGAATGCTGACAAGTCTTAACCTGCCCAAAATTCAGTGCTTATGTTAAAGACTGAATCAAAACTGAAAACTTGAGCATATTAATCTCATCTTTCAAATCGTTAAACTTTTCCTCCAACCATCAAAAAAGAAGATCCACTACACCTGTGTTTAGACAAGAGCCAGGCGTGAAGTAGGACTTACCTTTTCATTTTCCTCGGGCTTTTCACTGTGCCCATTCCCGTACACTTGGGCGTACAGCCTCCAGATGTCTCCATCGTTTGTCACTCTTGAAGTGACTCTGCCAAGTAACTCCTGCAGCTTTCCTTTGAGGCCAGTTGCGACTTCTCCGCTGCGATCAGCCACCCCATCAATCACCGCCCTCACCAGGATTTTCAGGACCTCATAAAGTGGAGAGAAGAAACTGGTAAGCTAGGAACAACCAAACAACAACAAAAAACAAAGGGCCGCCATCACCATCATCAATGACAATGATAAACCTCGCGAGACCTGTTAGAATGCCATCCTCACAGTTTTTAAAGGTGAAATACAAGTCAGGCCATCCCGAACCCTCTGCAGAACTGCCCGCCGACTGCCTCTCCAGGCCCCTCTGCCAGCGCCCTGGAGGGCTCTTCCTGCACAGGGCCCTGTACTCAGAGCTCTTCCCCCCCGACCGGGGCGCTCGCTCCCAGGGGGCTGAGCCACGCCTCTGGCTTCATACATTTTGCCGAGTCTGCGCTGACAGTGGCGGCCCAACTCTGGACAGGCAGGCTCCCCTCGGAGCTCCTGACTGTGCACCTCCTGCCTTCCAGCACGTCCCATCAACCTCTTGCACTCAGTCCATCTACCCAAGAGTGAACAGGTCCCAGATCCCTCTGTCTTAAAGAGGTCCTGGCTCTTCCTACTTGTTGAATGATAAACTGCTAATGCACTTGCATTAGGCACGCAGGGTGCCCAGAAAGTATCTCTTATCCTTCCAGCTCCCCCAGGTCGGCCCACCACTTAGCGACTTCCTGGCGATCTTGCTTTCGTTAGTCTTTACGCGTTCAGTCCCAGGTGCTTTGGATGCGGATTAGATGGGCTGAGCTCCACGGCAGGTTCCATTGCTATGACGCGGCACACCTGTCGTGTCTATTATATATTAGAAAATGTGTCTCCAGGCAGCTTCCGCGAGGCATAGAAAGTGCATCCTCAAACACTGACTGCTGTGATGGGGGGAAAGCAAAGACACCTGGCTCCACCTAACGAGCCATCCTGGCCTCACCCGTGGGCCGAAGGCACTGGCATCAGGCAGGGGCCTGCTAGAATCGCACCCTGGGTGGAGATGTCGGTCCACCGTGGACGGAGGTTCTGCATTTCTAACAATCCCCCAGGTGGTGCCAGTGTTAACGCTCTGAGGACCGCACTGTTGAGTGGCAAGGGTCCGGGAGAGGTGCCCACAGCTTTGCCCTTACTCTGAACTTCAGGGGGAGTGCGTTTCATCAGCTCGCACCACCAGGGTCTAACACAGTACCTGGCACACAGCACCGACTCATTAAATACTCGTGCCTGAAAGAAAGGCAGAACGAACACACTTCTTTCAGGAAGTGTTGCTAACAGAAATGCAACCAGTGTGTCAGAGACTGCATGTGTTCTGATCTGTGCATGAGATGTGGCTGAGGAAATGAAGCTCCTCTGGACCGCGAACACTTACTTAGGAAGGTGAGCTCAGACTTATGGCCCTAATTATATACGGTGATAAAAGTCGGCAGGAGAGCATCCAACTGTGTTTTTTCTTTCTTGTTTGGACAAGGTACAGTATCTCTGCCTATACATTCACATTACAATCCCACACGTATAGTTTCACATTTGAAAGTAGTGACATTCATATTACAATCCCACTCACGGTTTTAAATCTGAAAGTAACAATACAGGAGAAAGTGTATGAATATACACCACTCATTTCAAGTGCTCATTCTGTAAACATTTCCAGAAGTAACATGTTTGACTGTGATGGTCTATTATAATAGTTCCTAACATGTACAAATGAAGCATACTAAATTAGTAAAATACTTAATTTTTTCTGGGATCTCAGAGTTGGCCCAACGTCCCCTCCCCTCACTATAGCCCATGTGAGGGGCCTGGGATGGGGAGGAAACTTCTGGCTTCCTTGCCAGCTGCGTGGAGAGCTGCAGCGGGGCATCTGAGAGAGTAAAGGCTGTGTGTGTGTGAGCCGTCGAAGGGTAGGTGTGTTGTGTGTTATGGGGGCAGGACAGGGAGAAGGGAATAGGAGTAGGCAGACACCAAACACCTCTACCTAAGTCACAGGCGGATGCCACACAAAGAGAATGGGGCCTTGAGTAGGAGCGGACGCAATGGCAACTGTTTTTATACTCTCTATTTGCATGTTCAATGGCCAGTTAAATAACTGGATCTGGAGTTTAGAAGAAAGTTTTCTATATGGAAAACTAGATACTAGAAGCCACTCATGGCCATGGCAGGTGTTGCCTAATGAGACTATGTTGGGCAGGAATCAGAGTGACGACAGAACTTTAACAAAAGGACATTTAAGGGGAGGGAAGAGGAAGAGAGGCCCTCGCACTGAGGAGGGTGGAGGGAGCGCTCAGGAAGGCGGGAGAAGGTAAAGTCAGGGAAACTGGGGGCTGAGAAAGTAACAAGGAGGGTCCATCCATGAAAGGTCAGATGGAAGATTCCGCTGGACTGTTCAATGACAAGGGCTGGTGACTGTCCGGCAGAGAGAAAGCCAGAGGACAGAGGACAGGAGAGAGTGTGATTTTATATGAGTGGCTTACAAAGAGAGAGAGAAATGTGAAAACCAAAACAAGTATTAACGTCATACAAAAAAAAAAAAAAAAAAAGCAAAAAATACCCCCAATCATAGTGTCCTGTAATACTGAATATTGTTGGTATAGGGATAGAATGTTAATGGAGAATATTCATTTTACCAGAAAAGTTAATATAAATATATTGGGATAATAAGAAAGGGAAGTAGCAGAAATGATGGAATAAGAGAGTTAAATCCTCATTTACTATAATAGGAAGTCAACTGACAATACCTAAATTTGGTTAATAAAAAACATCAGTGTATAACTACTATTATGAAATATGAAAATGTGCAAATGGAAAAAAATACTAAGGGGTTTCTCTCCTTTGAGAAGAAGGATCTTGAAAAGTGGAAAAAGGTAGAGCAGGAAATTGCTCTATTTTGTTATAAGCCTTTTACTGCTACTTAACTTGTAAAATAGTATGTATGTGTTATTTTAATAAAGTAAAAATTTAATTTAAAATAGAGAAAAGGCAAGAATAAATACATTCAAAGATTGGCAAAGATGAAAAATGATGGCAACATGAATAGTCACTTATTAGATTTTACTTTGAAAGCAAGTCCTTGGCATGTGCGGGTTGACGGGGAGGCGGCGGTGGGGGGGGCTTTGGAAGCGCGGGTGCCGCTGATTCACGCTCTGGGGGCTGATTACACAGCTGTGTCCCTTTGTGAAAATCCTTCTCTTTCCTAGTGATCTGTGTACCTTTCTATATGTACACTATATTTTAACAAAAGTTAATCAAAATGTTGTTTCCTGCAATTAAGAAAGTGCCGTGAACTGAAGAAAAGTTATTATAATATATTAACAAATGGAGCAAATGTGTAATCTTAAAAAACGGTTTTAAAGTATAAGGGAATTATTTTAAAAGAACATTAGAGTAATTTAATAATTTACTGGCTAACATTATCATATTCCTCCCACTAACTAGTAAGGGAGAAAAATCACATTCTAGTTATCCAGACTAACTACAAAAACAGTAACTTTTAACACATATTTAACCCTTCTTTAGAAAATAGGTAATTGTAACCTAAAAGGAACAAAGGGTGCTGCAGTAGAATTCCTTTGATTAAATGAATCACCAAGGAGTACAATGTCCTTCCGGGAAGTCCACAGAGGTTACCAACGCTATGCTCCTTCACTTCAGCAAAAGCGGGGGGGGGGGAATTTACACAGGTAAGAGCTTTCTTCCACTGTAAATTGGATAAAAATGGGTAAATCGTTATGATTATTGAACCCATGAGTAATAGTTAAAACTATAAATTCCTAACTAGGTAAAAGTGGCTAAAGGGTAAAATATTAAAGTTTAATAATTTAGAAATGAAACAATCCTTGAAGAAACAGGATTCAAGATATGGCCACTTGGATAGATTGCTCACACGGAATACAATAAGGACAAAGAACTTCCAGTCCAAAATATTGAGCATACCATCTACTTAAACACCAAGTATTCAAGAGCAGCTAGATCTAGAGTGGAGAGGAAGACAGAGAAAGTTGCTTAAGTCCACCATGAATATGGGGGAATGCTAGGAAGTTTGGGAACAGCAGTGATACCAATATAGATCTTTCTATAAAATCACAGAATGGTTATATCAGGAGTCAACATACATATAAAGAGCTTTGAACGTGTAAAGCAGTAAAAACCTATAAACTCTTACCATTAACACTGACCCTCAGTGACCTTTCTTTGTCAGAAGTAGCCAGCAAAAATCCTTATCGTTGGCACACTATGTGCCTCTACATTTCCTTATGGTTCAAAATATATCTAAAACAACAGAATCTACCACATGGTGTCAGCCCCCGATGCTTCCAACTACCTGATGTGAGCACTCATTTTGTGAACCTAATATGACTGCATTCTCACAGTAACCCTAGAAAGTAGGGACTTTATTGCCTTCGCTTCATAAAACACCGAGACACGAGAAGTAAATGAACTTTTTCAAGGTCACATAGCATGAGTCATGGAGCTGGGTTTTGAACACCAGCAATATCTGACTCCTGAACTTTGATGAAGATGATGAGGAGACAACAGTGATGGTAGATACATGCGCGCGCGCATACACACACACACCCCACCCCACCCCCTATGATCGAGGGGCTCTATGAACACACTTATCCTCCTAACAATCCTATGAGAAAGATGTTTTTGGTATTTGCATTCTGCAGATGAAGAAACTGGAACACAGAAAAGATATGTAACTGGTCCAAGGTGACGAGGTAGAGTTGGATATGAACCTGTAGCCTGTGTCCTGGCTCTTGCCCTCAAGCATTTGCAACATTAATTTAGAAAACACAGCTCCTAACTCCTCTGTTATCTCTTCCTAACTAGCGGTAAGTTTTTTTTTTGTGTGTTGGAAAGATTCCTCTTTTATGAAATATGCATGCTAGTAACTTTGATCATTTCATTATCATTTCTGAACCAAATCTTGAATCAACCAAACCTAGACAGACTTCTGCAGGTTTTTTAATTAAAGATTTCTCCAAGACATTAGACTTAATGAAAAATAAAAATAAAATCCCCAACCACTACTAACATTACAATGAATTTCTAATCTTTTTACTATGTGTAAAATTTTTTAA